AGTTAACAATTGTAAAGAGACACAAGCAATTATTAACCCAGTTCGGTGCAAACACCTACGTCTGGGGCTACCAAGCCAGGAAGGAAATCCACTAAACAAAATTAGTTTGAAGACTCTCAGCAAATTCTCTCTAGTTTACAATCTTCGCACCTAATCTCTACCCGTGTAACTTCTATCTAAGACACTCTCAGATATGAGACACCCCTCACTCCCCCTCAATCACAAGCAGTGATAAAAACAGAAGATCAAAAAGTAGAAGACACACTTCAAGGACAACACTTGATCTTGCTTAAAAGTTTCTATCAAGAACAATGCACTCGTGCTTAAAAGATTAGAGTGGACAATTTACAACTCAAAGAACTCAGTCCAATTCACACATCAAAGTGATGAATGAATGGCTCATAAGAAAACAACTAACAAAAGACTCAAACCCTAACAAAAGACAAACCGCAGCTTTCTCAAAATCTCCTCTCTACCTTACAAGTAGGGTTAGCACGTCTTTAAATAGAAATCATTCTTCATGGGCTTGAGCAAAAGTAATCCATAATTAAAGCTAATTATTCTCCATACCTTTTTGCACAAAAATAGCAACAAACCATTCTTCAAAAGGAAACATAATATACTTGCTTTAAATAATGTCATGCCTTGATTTGCGCAGGCAATCACTTAACAAAGGCACATAAAAGATTGTAGAAAAAAATGCAACAGACAAAACATAACATTTTGACTGAATATTTTGTAAACATATGTCAGGACATCATACTTGACATCATGAACTAAATCCTGCAACAACAAAAAGAACCACCTGCAGAATGTTAAGATTACATGTCAAGACATCATATAGGACATCTTGTGATAACACCAAGTTTTACCAAAATTGTTGCCAATCACAGAACTAACAAACTCCCCCTTTGGCAAAATTTGGCTAAAACAACCAATTAATCACAAGAGTTACCAGAACATAGCAGCAGCAGAAAAACACAAAAAATCCTAACATGTCACAAAGAAAAATAAAGCTCCCCCTCAAACCAAAGTGCCAGAGAACCATACCATAACACCAGAAAAAATACTCCCCCTCAACCCAAAAACAACAACAACAACACAACATCCCTCATACTACTTCTCCCCCCTTTTTAGCCATAATTAAAGAAATCTCACTAAGAGAAAACCATTATTATAGAACAAGCATACAGATCCAGCAGTATCAAGAGTGCAGAATGAAACCACAAAAAAATTACAAGCCAAATCCTGGGGTATTGTTGTGGCGCGGGTTGGTCATGATTGGAATGTAAATTGTTGTTAGTTTCGCTTTGGTTCTTAAGTTGTTATGCTCGGGAAGGAGAAAGAACGGGGAAGCGACTTTTTCATAGACGGCGCCACTGATCTCATTTGATCAGAAAGGAGTCAGTGACCTGCCACGCATCGTGATCTAATGCATTCACTGGAGTTGTGGAGGAGGAATGAGATGTACCTGCAAAATGCTCTGATGCCTAAGTAATTACCGAAACTAGAGAGAGCAAGTATAGAGAGAATGTGTGGAGAATAGAATATCTGACCCTCTAGTGTAAGAGGATATTTATAATGTGCCCCCAGCGCAGGGCCAACAGTTACATTACATTGGGCCGGATTGCCAAGCCCAACACAAGTAACTTTCAGGGCTTACGTGGTGTAGTGAAGATCAGTGCGTGGTCTTCGCCCTAGATCAACTGCTCTGTGATCCTCAGAAGGTGGACTGACCATCTCTTTCGAAAGTGGGTAGCTACTTGATGACGTGTCCCCGCGTGGGAGACACGTGGAGAACGTGGGGAAAGCGCGTGAGCTTCCCCGTTAAGAGATTCTTCTGCTCGACTAGTGTACCTTGTTGTGGATTGTGCTCGACAGAGGGGAGTTGAGCCTTGTTGGGCCTTATCAGTATAGTACGGGGTTGGGCCTGCCCGACTGAGGGGTAGGTCTTAGCCCAGTCCAGAACACAACTAACTGAGAATATAAAGTGTTATCTTTAAATCTATATTCCAAAATTTTGATGCTCCAACCAAATGTTGTTTGTATCTTATTATGCTGATTTAGAATTATGTGGTTCACTGAGTCTCAATCTCTATACACGGAGTCTCAGTTTCTATACAAATCCCCTTTACTATTTCCCAACCAATTTTTCAAAGTAACATGGACCAACTCAACTCTATTAGTTGTTATATTTCTAAGGTGTCTAACATTATTAGTCCGACAAACTATCTTCTCCTTCACTTGGTCAAGAATTGTGCTTTCAATATATTTCAACAAATCTGAATACTTTTCACACACTTTCTTGAAATGAATAAAAAAATAGTCATATAGTTTTTCTGTTGAAAAATTTATTATACGATTTCATGCATCCATTGTTTTTTCCACAACCACGCCCGCCTTCACTAATTTTCCATCTTCGAACTCTATTTGTTTCGTCCCTATCGTGAGTTTAACCCGACTTCTCACATTCTTTGTTATATGATACCTACAAAGTAATCCATAAGAAAAATAAAATTCATTTGCAACTACATTCATCAAGGAGGTATCGTGGTCGGTAACAATCGCTTTAGACATCTCACCTTTAACCTTCAACAATGACCGACACACCTCTAATGCTCAAGTAAAAGTGTCCTCTTTTTCACACTCAAGAAATGCAAAACCAAAAAAATATGTCTTCTCAGTTGAGGTAATACCGACCATTTCAAATAATGAAAGTCCATACTTGTTGGTCTTATAGGTTGAATCAAGTATGAGAACCTTAGGAAACTTGTTGAACAACTTTATGGAATCAGGATGAGTCCAAAAAATATCTCTAATCGTAACTCCATCATCGCACGTTCGGTACCTGGACACGTAAGTGTTATCATTCAACAGTTTCAAGAGTTGTTGCATCTCAGTTCTATCCCTCCTAAGCGCATTGTTAGTGAGGTACCAAATATTATACACTTGCTTAATATTTGATATATTGTCGGGTCGTTTTCGTTTCAATGTTGCAAGTATATTTTTTCAATAAACAAGATTCAAGGTCATGTCAGCAACACATTTCTTTTCTTTCGGCTTGAGCCGGAAAACAGTAGGATGACCGGCTAACTTTAAAAACAAATCATGGTTATGCAAATCATGTATCACATTAAATCTCCAATTTTTGTTTTCTAACATGTAACCACAAACTTTAAATGGACACTCACATTTTCTTGAACCGGTGTCATCTCTTTTAAAATTCCAGAGAGGAGTTCGACGTTTCCCGCTTCTTTCACACTTCATTGTCACAATGGAGCATCTTCTATCCGAACCATTATCCGACCTTCTGATAACCATACCAAATCCAAGTTTAGAGGCCTCCATACGAATCCATTCAAGAATTTGATCACGAGATTCAAACTCTTGTTTGTTTTTAAAGTCGTTGCCAACATCTACTGGATTCACAACAACACCTTGAACATTCAGAGAAACAACCACACCTTGGACATTCCGAGAAACAACTTATTTTGGGAAAACATCATAGTGCACCATATCTAATGAAAATAATTAAAACAATAACAAAACATAAGGTCAACTACTACTGTAGAATGACTTCAAAAAATGAACACAAATAACTTTCGGAAATGCATCTCCGGAGAAGTTCATACACATTCTGGAGATACATTTTCGGACATAGTGTAACTATTTTCAGGAAAAATGGATGATTAATTTGAGCAATACACAGGGAAAAGAAAAATCTTTACCTGAAATTTTATCTTCTTTTACTCCCTATGATATGTTAAACCAAAAGGATGGAGATTTGAAGTAAAAAATGGATTGAGAATGAAGGGTTTTTATGATGAAGGGTTTGGTTAAAAATAGACATGGCAACGGGGCGGGTCGGGGGAGAGTTTAAGCAGCTCCGCACCCGCACTCGCCTCCCTGAAACAGACCCGCCCCGCATCCAGTTGGGGGTAATAAACTACCACTCAGACCCGTCCCCAATGAGGAACGAGTTCCCCTCCCCCGCCCGCAAAACTATTTTTTAAAATATATTTTTTTCATAACAATAAAAAGTAATAATTTAATTAAATAATTAATCATTTTAATAATAATAAAGAGTAAAACATGTTTTTTCTAGTAAAACTATTTCTAAAAATTAAAATAACTCTAATAAATATATAATAAAATAATTAAAATGAGGAATAAAAGTAAATTAAAGTAGACGGGGCGGGGCCGGGCGCAGGGCGGATAGTAGCATTCCCCGCCCCCGCACCCATAATAGAAAATCGAGTTTTATCCGCACCCGCACCCAATTAAACCGGGTTCCTCTCGTTAATTTCGGGACGGTGCTGGGTTTTCTTGTCATGCCTAATTAAAAACCATGTATGTCAACAATGGTTGAGTGATCATACAGCTGGTAGCTATATCAGATATTTTCAAAGATGCATATTCGAAAATACCTAGCATGCAAAGGTGTCAGAAAATTTAAAATACCGTCCAAATGGATATTATCAATTGATTAAAAAAAGGAACAGTTAAACTTAAAAAAACTGTTTCAATGAAGAATCTTTATTATTCAAAATGAATGAAAAACAATAACAATCATTCAGTATTTTTTTGTTATAATATTATTTTTTTTTAAAGAAAAAATGTTAATTGTCTGTTTTAATTTTCTTTTGAAAAATCCATATTAAACCAAATATATGCATTATAAATTATGACCGTTATAATATAATTCTTAATATTTTTACTAACTATTCATTTTATAGAAGTTAAATTCATACACCAAAATATAAAATAAGATATTAATAAGTTAATTTTCTTTATAGATTACGGCTTATTTATATTATATTACATTACATCCCAAAAAAGAATTTGAATTCTAACAACACTTCTGGTTATAGAAACTTAAAAATTCTAACACTGTATCTATAAATAAACTAGTTCAGATTGTTGCAGTTACGAAAGCAGTTTCATTCATTTATTTTTGGTACATTTTGCTCCGATTTTCTCCAATTTCTAATTTCATCCCAATGGAAAGAGGCGGTTATAGAAACACCACCGGTAACCGTGGCAGTGGTGGTAATGGTCGTGGCAGAGGAGGTAATGGTCGTGGCAGAGGAAGAGAGTTTCATCAGGAACAACAGCCAAGTGCCGGTTGTGGTGGCAGAGGAAGAGGAAGGGAGTTTTACCACCATCAAGAAACCAGTTCCGATACTGGTCATGGCAGAGGCAGAGGAAGAGGAAGAGCAAGAGAATTTTACCAGCATCAAGAAACCAGTTCCGATAATGGCGGTGGCAGAGGAAGAGCAAGAGAATTCTACCAGTATCAAGAAACCAATTCCGGTAATGGTGGTGGCAGAGGAAGATCAAGAGATTTTTATCAGCATCAAGAAACCAGTACCGGAGATGGTCATGGTAGAGGAAGAGCAAGAGATTTTTATCAGCATCAAGAAACCAGTACCGGAGATGGTCATGGCAGAGGAAGAGCAAGAGATTTTTATCAGCATCAAGAAACCAGTACCGGAGATGGTCATGGCAGAGGAAGAGCAAGAGATTTTTATCAGCATCAAGAAACCAGTACCGGAGATGGTCATGGCAGAGGAAGAGCAAGAGATTTTTATCAGCATCAAGAAACCAGTACCGGAGATGGTCATGGCAGAGGAAGAGCAAGAGATTTTTATCAGCATCAAGAAACCAGTACCGGAGATGGTCATGGCAGAGGAAGAGCAAGGGAGTTTTATCGGAATCAAGAAACCAGTGCTGATAATTGTGGTGGCAGAGGAAGGGGAAGAGAGTTTTATCAGCGTCAAGAAACCAGTGCCGGTGGTGGCGACAGAGGAAGAGAGCTTCATCAGCAAGAACAAACCGGTGCAGGTGGTGGTGGTGGCTGCGGCAGCGGAGGGCTACAACCCCAACCACAAACCTGTTGGTCGCGAAGGCCTAATATATCTCCCTCCTTCACCAACACAAACTCATCTTCAACTCCTCCTCTTCCTATGTCTAAGCACACCAATCTTCAACCCCAAGTCCAAACTCATCCACTTCCAGGTGTTTGATCTTTTTTCTCAGAGGAAATATTCGTTTTCTTTTTTCATTTCAGTACCCTAATGTATGTGAAAGATCCTCTAATCTTTGATACAATACAAATTGATTTCTATAACATTGCACTACAAAATTTCATTTTTGATGAGGCAAATAGTGCATACAAATTGTGAAAATATCAACTTATATGATTACGATGATTTTCTGTCCAGATATTGGAGTTCTGAATGTAAAAGAGCAGCCAGGGGAAAGTCCAACAACTAGACCCATACACCGGCCTGATAAGGGAGGGACGGCGTATATTCAAAGATGCAAACTTCACGTGAATCATTTTCCGGTTACCTACAATCCAGAAAGAACCATCATGCACTACAATGTGGATGTGAAGGCTACTTTGCCGCTCAGAAATGCTTCTTCCCCTCCAAAGAAAATTTCCAAGTTTGAGTTATCTTTGATTAGAGACAAATTGCTTACTGAGAGACCGACTTTGTTGATGACTGCTTATGATGGGGGAACAAACATCTATAGTGCTGGTGAATTGCCTGAAGAAACTTTTACTGTGGAGGTCTCAAGAGGAGATGATGAAAGCGCTGTTTCATATACAGTTACTATAAAGCTGGTGAACAAACTCGAGCTTCGCAAGTTGAGAGATTACATTAAGGGCGGAGTGTATTCGATTCCGAGGGATATTTTACAGGGAATGGACTTGGTGGTAAAAGAGAATCCAACAAGGCACACAGTTGCTTTAGGACAACGTTTCTTTCCCACCAATCCTACCATGAAACAGATGGATCTTACACACGGTATAATTGCAGTTGGAGGGTTTCATCATAGTCTCAAAACTACATCTCAGGGTTTATCTTTATGTCTTGACTATTCAGTTTTGCCTTTTTCAAAGAAAATGCCAGTCCTGGATTTCCTCGGTGGGCGTATAAATAATCTCAATTTGGATCAGTTTGAGAAATTTAGAAAAGTTGTCGAGAAGGAACTCATTGGATTGAAAGTAAATGTCACTCACAGGGTAACCAAACAAAAATACACTATTGCTGGGTTAACACGCGAAAAGACACGCGATATCACTTTCACTTATTTGGACCAAGAGGGACAAAACCCCCCTAGCAGCAAATATCTTACTGACTACTTTGAAGAAAAACACACCTGCAATATTAAACACAAAGATATTCCTTGTTTGATTTTTAGCGGTAGCAAGACTAATTACATGCCTATGGAAGTTTGCGTCTTGGTTGAGGGTCAGAGATATCCCACAGACAGTCTTGATCTCTCTGCTTCCACGAAGTTGAAAAATATGTCTGTGGCTAGTCCAAAGGATAGAAAATCTTCAATAGAATTGATGATGATGTCTGCTGTTGGACCGCACGGGTAAGATGAATATAGTTACATTACAATGCATTTTCGAACTTATACTTTGTGATCTTTATGATCAGATGCCTAACAGAATCTTTTTTTGACAGCCGTGATATTCTTCAGGATTTTGGAATGGAGGTCATCCCTTCCATGACAAATGTGACTGGACGTGTAATTCAGCCTCCAGATTTGAAGTTAGGTGATCCAAATGGAAGGGGTGGTACTATGAAACTGAGAGTGGAGAAATGTCATTGGAATTTAGTTGAAAAGTCAATGGTAGATGGAAAAACGGTTGAACATTGGGGCATCCTTGATTTTACCAGCAAGGGATCTCGCCACAAATTTAATCATTATCAGTTTGTAACCGATCTGAAGGCAAAGTACAAGAAGTTGGCCATTGACATGAAGGACCCTGTTTTGTACGAGGAATCTGAAATGAGGATACTTGGGGATTACAATTCACTATCTAGATTACTTGAGCGAATTAATTGTAAACAGCGGCTACAATTTCTTCTTTGTGTGATGGACAGAAGGGATGAAGGTTACAAATGCCTCAAATGGATTGCTGAGACCAAGGTTGGCATAGTGACACAATGCTGCTTATCTCCTAATGCTAATAAAAGTATTCGTAATAAAGGGCAAGACCAATATTTAACAAATCTTGCACTAAAAATCAATGCGAAAATTGGAGGCAGTAATGTCGAGCTCCTTAATAGGATCCCACACTTTGAGAAGGACAGACATGTTATGTTCATAGGGGCTGATGTCAATCATCCAGGTTCTCAGGATAAAGAAAGTCCATCAATTGTTGCGGTGGTTGCCACAGTTAACTGGCCAGCTGCAAATCGGTATGCAGCACGAGTTCTTGTTCAAGAGCATCGAATGGAGAATATTTTAAATTTTGGAGAAGTTTGCATTGACCTTGTCACACATTACGCAAAGTTGAACAAATCCAGGCCTGAAAAAATTGTTATCTTTCGTGATGGTGTTGGTGAAAGCCAGTTTCACATGGTCCTTACAGAGGAATTGAAAGATTTGAAAACCGCATTTGAGCGTATAAATTACTCTCCAAGTATCACTCTTATTGTAGCTCAAAAGCGACATCAAACTCGATTGTTTCCTGTAGATGCGAAGGGGGTTTGTACTGGCAACGTGTTCCCTGGAACAGTTGTAGACACAGATGTGGTACATCCTTTTGAGTTTGATTTTTACCTCTGTAGTCATACTGGAAACCTAGGTACAAGCAAACCCACTCATTATCATGTGTTGTGGGATGAGCACAAGTTTAGTTCAGATGATTTGCAGCAACTGATATATAATCTATGCTTTACCTTTGCAAGATGCACTAAATCTGTATCCTTAGTCCCTCCAGTGTACTATGCTGACCTTGCTGCATATAGAGGAAGATTATACTATGAAGCAAGGAAGTCAGCAAAGAGAAATGATGAGGTGTTTGCCAAGTTGCATCCTAATACGGAAAACATAATGTTCTTCGTCTGAAAATCTGTTTCTTTTTCTTGTGGATCAAGTAATTAAGTAGTTTGTGAGTGAATCTAATGGATTGTGTCTTGTACTTTTGAACTCTATTAGTTAATTCTAGTGAAGATGCTATAAAATTATAGAAGTTTTCCTTTTCATTAGAAAAAGAAAACTACATTACACATGTACCTACCTGCCTATGCAAATATTATTGTTAATACTACTAAGGAAATTGCTGGTTACTGTATATGAGAAATAATCCTTGTCAGTTAGAATTTCACTTTCCTTATCGATTTCTGAATCATAAAAATTTACATTCTCCAAAAATCACAGAATTAAGACATAGTATTAATTATTACTAGAAATGTGACCAGGCATAAAAAAAAAAACTAATCTGACCAGAACATTGGCCATAATGAATCAAAATGGGACCATGATCACAATGAATGTTTGTGAGAGCAACCGCACAAGCATTTGCTTAACGACACAAATGATAAATTTTGATTTGTCACTCGATAGTCAAAAGTTGTCTGATCTACTGAATTAGCCTCCATCCTGCAACACTACTCATTCTTCATTTTCTTAATGTATCAATGATAGTCTTTGAGTCCACATGAAGCTAACTTTCTAAGAGACCCAAAGCTCATCAACGTAAGCATTACATCTTCCAAGAATTTTGGAAAAGTCACATAACCATATATTTTGGTCACTTATAAGTAACTCACTACATTGCTTGATTAGTCTCTAAACAAACTGAACCCTCATCTGAAACTCTCCATGTAATGAACTGAACTGCTGTTTTGAGCTAATTGATAATCTTTCACCCACCTTAAAATTGTATGATAATGCCGTTTTGCTCTATTCAAAGTATCATTATGTAAAATCATATCCGTCTATCTCCAAAGAAAGTGGCACCCAAATAATTCCCTCGTTACTTCCATAATCGTGTAGAATGTTAAGGCGTATCCGTTCTTTAAGATTTGCTCAGAAGAAAATTCATGCATCCTCGAGGAAACAAAAATACATCAGATCTCTTTGGCTAAAAGGAAGTCATGCATGACATGGATAATATCCTTTATCACATCCACAATGCTTGCATTAAGGACCACCTAAGAACATTTTATCCTTAGTATGATTCATAAGCAATCTACTGTGATACAAAATCCAAATAAATTTGTATCATCTCCGGAGCACTAAGGTGCCATATTCAATTCCACACAATATCCAACCTATCTTCATCAAAATTACACAACAATTTATAACAAGACGCGACTGTAAAGGTACTTGTATTTGTTGAAATGATCAAGGTAGTATTTGGTGGTCTTGGAGTGGCATTGACAAATGTTGAATTGGCTTGTTGCGGCCAACTTTAGGAGCTTATTTCTTGAAAATTGATGAACCAATTTTCAAGAAAAGTCATTGTATCTTATAATGGAGTTATGAAAGGAGCTTCCACTTCAATGGCTATGTTGCTCCAATTATGACCATTTGAGTGTTGATCGCGATCAAATGCTCATGGTGTCCCTTTTTACAACGAAGGTTTCCAAGCGAGGATGTTTGAAGTTCTCTAGAGCAGATGCCTTATAAATTTTTTGATATAAAGACTAAGGACCCTCCTATTCTTCATTATGATCCTCATATATGATTTTATCTTATTAAATATCTTGAATATTGGTTTATATGGACAAACTTTTCTCAGGGAGACGACATGCACACACTTATTCGTAATCGTATGCTTGAATTTGGGCTATAAGTTATATGATTTATAATGGGCCACGAAACCTTCATCTCTTGAGAAAAAATTTTACCCCATACCCCTACACTTATATCCACATTCGTACACTAAAAAATATTGGACCAAAATACCCTTTTTTAAATATTTATAATTTTAGAAATTTTTTCACTTTCACTTCATTTGCATTTCAACATTTCTGGAGCACTCATTTTTCACATACAAACCGGAAGTCTTCCAACAAGTCATCTGAAACACATTTTTTCACCTACACAATACCGGAACTCCAATAGTAAGTCTTCCGGTTTGTTGAATTTTTTGATTTGTTCACCGGAAGACTTTATGTATGTCTTCCGATTTGTAGTTTTTTTGGTTTCTTCATCGGAAGACTTAATGCATGTCTTCCGGTTCATGTTTTTTTTTTAATTTTTAATTTTTAATTTTATTTATTTATTTATTTTGTTTGTGGTTCGCACACGAGACAGAGATGGTAGGATCCCTCGTGAATTAGGACGGGGCGAGTCATCGAGAATGGCTGAAGAAGAGCATTTTGATGCATCTGCATCAGCATCCGAGTTTGTTGGATATCCAGGAGGACCGTATGATACCTCTCTTTTAGTTAAGTACGAACATCATGTTGCTAGACATATATGGTTCGGTGAGGTAAGTAAACGAAAATTATTTAATATTGAATAAAATTCGAATTTTTAATATTGAATTTTATAATATATTTACTTTTAATTGTTTTTAGGAGAGAGGATCGAAGAAAGAGTTAAAGGTAGCGGTACATGGGTTGAAGTTGATTTAGAGGGTTCCACTACAGCTACCCAGAGAGATGGAGGGTTGGATATCTAGGTCTGGTCTAGCTTCACTCTAGAGAACCAGTTTAACAAAGATAGAGACAAACCTGATTTCCGCATTTGCAGAGAGATGACATCTAGAGACATCTTCATTTCACATGTCGTTTGGTGAGATGACGATTACTCTAGATGACGTATCTTGCCTGCTTCACTTGCCCATCAAGGGAGTCTTCTGGAGCCCTCAAGATATCAGTGAAGCGCTTGTTGTTGAGTGGGCTGTTGATTATTTATGAGTGTCACGAAGAGTAGCACAACAAGAAGTTTGTGACTGCAGGGGTTCCTACTATAAGTTGGAGTGGTTATATGATCGATTCGTAGAGCATAGAGTTGCATCTAGATGGGATTATGCCACTAGAGCTTATTTGCTGATGTTAGTGGATTCCACTATTTTTGCGGACAAGACGTTTATGCTTGTCGAGGCACGATACCTCTCACTATTTATAGACTTGGATGGCTTATTAGGATACAGTTGGGGAGCAGCTGCGTTGGTTACTCTTTATAGATATCTCGGAGATGCTTCCATGTTCAGTTGTAAGCAGCTTGGTGATTATCCGACTCTCTTACAGGTATTTATTTTAATTTAGTATATTTTGTTTTAATTAATTTTATCTAGTATATTAATTTTATTTATCTAGTTTATTATGTTATAATTAATTATTTTAAATTTAGTAACCATATTAATTTTGTAACAGTGCTGGATTCATGAGTATTTTCCAACATTTGGAAAAAAAGAGGAGAGAACTGGATACCAGCTAATAATGTGGGTCTCCCTCGAGCGATGAGATGGTCCTATAGGCAAGGTGCCTTGAAGGTGGATGACTTGCGACCTATTCTGGACGAGCTGACACCTGCCGATGTCATATGGCGCCCATTCGAGAATCATAGAGTATGGCGTCAGTTTGATGAGTTATATCTATATAGGGGGTGTCTGAGGTGGGGTGACATTATTGTTCCATACTTGCCTGACAGATGTATGCGTCAGTTTGGATACAGGCAGTATGTTCCACATCCACCTTTTGATTATACGATGGTTGGTGATATTGATGTTGACTGGATTAGTTACCATCAGAGCGTTCAGGATGTGATTCGTCCGACAACATCGGCCACCACCCCATATGAGACAGATTATGGATATCTTGAGTGGTATTATCGTGTTTCGCATCCTCTTCTGGTACCGCCCAATCGTGATGCGACAACAGAGATGCCATTTCTTGTATATGAAGAAGGACCATCTGATCCTATATTGGCTCGTATGTTTTCATTGATTCATCGTTATCTTCAACAGGCTGGTGCTGAAGAGGATGACCCACAGTTTGCTAATTTGTTCGAAGCTTTACATATTGCTCGATCACAGTGACTTATATTTATATTTATGGTTATATGTTAACTTTTAGACTCATTTGACCTAATTGGTTTATGTTCATGTGTTAACTTTTAGACTCATTTGGCCTAGTTGCTTTATGTTTATGTGTTAACTTTTAGACTCATTTGACCTAGTTGGTTTATGTTTGTGTGTTAACTTGTAGCCTGAAATAAAAAATGAATAACATAATTCACGATTCATGTTTTGAAATTAAAAATGAATAACATAATTCACGATTCATGTTTTGAAATTAAAAATGAATAACATAATTCACGATTGATGTTTTGAAATTAAAAATGAATAACATAATTCATGATTCATGTTTTGAAATTAAAAATGAATAACATAATTCATGATTCATGTTTTGAAATTAAAAATGAGTAACATAATTTATAATTCATAATGCGTTGGTAATATAGGTGTAAGTTGTTGCCAATGTTGTAGACGTCCTGCAAATCCTAGCATCCAAGATGTTGCTGCTGGAGAACGAAACTTCTTCCAATCTATTGTCACTGGTGGCAATGGAAACCCTTCTTTCATGTTTACCTAAATAAAAAAATAATCAAAATATAAAGTAAAAATAACGAAAAAGAATTAGGTTTAATCGCATTATCTAAAAACAACTAAGTACCTGAATCCAATGATTTATGTTTACAAAACAAATGCAGTAAATTGATACATTTGGTGAAAATGAAGTTGTCATAGGGAAGAAAGTCCAGCATTCAATTCCTAAACAGACAAGTACAACATTATAACGATTCGCTATCACGTAACCCATATCTGGTAGAGTTAACCATTTATGTGATTGTTGAGGACCAAATTCCTCTATCATCAAAGATTCTCTCACTACTGCTAACTGATCAGTAAATAAATTGGCATACAAACTTGATCTTTCATTATGTATTATTTCCAACCCCAAGTCTCGACGAACCATTGGCCAACCATCTTCACCATATCCATGCAATGAAGCAATGACTCTAAATCCACAATTACCATCTGATACAACATTAACTACATCATCAATATATGACCTGATGTGATTAGGAAACTGAAGGATGAACTGCTTAGATGACTGTGAAGATTGTGATAATTTCAACTTCTTCGAAGCCTGTGATGGTTGAGATTTATTTTGTGAAGGCTGTGATAATTTAAAATTCTTCGAAGTTTGTGATGGTTGAGATTGCCTCTGTGAAGATTGAGATGCTTGATCAACATACTCGTGATACGAAGGGTCTCTATAAACATCATACCCTACTGGTTTTTTTGTCTTTTTTCTTGACTCCCCCTTTAGTTTTTATTTTCTCAGGTGGTGGACACATAGAAGTCATTGTGGGGAAGGCAAGTCCAAAAACCCTACTTTTTAATGCCCTTTTTCCAACAACATCCAGTGACTTAAACCTTTTCCATAACTCATCTATTGCACTACTCATATCCACCTCTGATCCATCATCTACGTCTTCGTCCAACTTAACTTCCATACTTAGTTTTCTCCAATGAACATGAACAGTATCTATTGGTATCGGTATACCATCAATTCTATATCTTGTCAACTCACAAGCACAAGGTAATCTGTAGGTTGTTCTAAGAGTACAACGACATATTTCCTTGTTAGTTCCAACATAATCAACTCGTTTTAACTCTTCAGCAATGCGTCTCAATGCATCTCGAGACACTGAACCACGTAAATTATTGTAAAATGGACTTACATCAAAAACACTTGTGGACACAACTCTTTCTTCACAAACAATTGTTTAAGCTTATCTAGCACCCAACAAAAAGTCTCAGTCTGCTCAGACTCAATATAGGAAAATGCGACAGCAAAAGTCAACTCGGTTGATATCATGCCAACAATTTCAAACAGAGGTTGCCTATATTTGTTTGTCTTGTAAGCGTTGTCCATAACTAACACAATAGGAAAAATATTCAACAACTTAACTGAATCTGGATGAGCCCAAAATATATCTCTAAAAACTTCAGAGTCATCTCTTTTTCTACTCCAATAAACATAACATGCATCCTCAATAAGCTTAAACAAATGTTGTATCTCACTTCTAGGACCTCTTATATTTTTTTTCTATCATACTCTTCTGCTTGTATATTTGCGTGATCCGAATGACATTATCTGGATCTTGCTCTTGCAATGAAAGCAATATATGTCTAGGTGGAACCTTTCTCTTTGTCAAATCAACAACATGTTGCTTCTGATCCGCTGTCAACCTACCAATAAATGCGTGACCTTCTAATATATCAGGTAAATCATGGTAATGAACTCCACATTTTACATCAATCTTCCATCCAGATCCATCAGTCGCTGGAATTGATCTGATTTTAAATGGACATCCACATTTTTTCGTCGCACTCTGGGTTCCACTATCAATATCTTTGTGTTTTCCTCCTTTATCACATCCAAATATTAATTTGTTACTTCTTCCTCTCTTCCCTGTTTCAATATCTGAACGAGTGATGATAACCGTTACTTTATTTCGGATTCCAATCTCTTTAATCCATCTTATCACCTCTTCTCGTGTACCAAATCTTTGAGTAGTTGAAAAAACATCAGGCGTATCTACGCATATCTGATCTTTATCGCATATTTGTAAAGGAATTTCTGAACCTGCCTAAATAATTTTTTTTTTTAAAATATAAAAAAAATATTAAAAAAAATACAAATGCAAACCGGAAGACTTAGGAAAAGAGTTCCGGTAGCCAACGTTAGCAAACCGAAAGACTTGTAAAAAGTGTTCCGGTACACTTTTTACAAGTACCGGAACTCTTAAGAAAAATGTTCCGGTAAACTTCTACGAAAAAAACTCAAACCGGAAATCTTTAATAAAGTATTCTGGTACATAATTTGTGTAAACCGGAACTCTTTACCAAAGTCTTCCGGTTTGGGAAAAACAGCATACCGAAAGTCATTGTGAAAGTGTTCTGATAAGTTCGATTGGTAAATTTCTTGGAAGTCTAAAAATCTGACACAGTAAAATGTGGAAAAAAAATATAATAAAAAATATACAGAGATAAAATTGATATTTTTTTAAAGTTGTAGAAATATAAATACAAGTGTAGAGATATGGGATAAAATCTTCCTCTTGAAAATCAGATTTATAATCTATGTTAACGTCCAATATTATATACATTATTTTTAAAATATTATTTTCAATGTTAATAAAAGATATATAAATAATTAACAAAAATAATTTAATAAAATATGATTTCCTTATATTCATTATATTTCTATTTTTCTTATTCAAGTACTTACTATATTTTTATTTTTCATTTTTGTATAATATTTATTCTATTTTTTAATATAAAAACCCTAAAAGGAATTTGTTTTTAAGAATGAGCTGTACTAGGATGTTCTGTTTGCCAATTGTGTCATCAAATCTCTCTGTACTCTGTACTCTCACTCTGATCTAAACAGAACAAACCCTTCTCACTTCTGACACATTTCTTCATTCGATTCCCTTTTGTCTTCTTCCTCTTCCATCTTTATTTTCCCTTTCTCTCTCTTCTTTTTATTCCCTTCTATCTCAATTTTTCTCTTTTTGTTTAATCACACCACTTTTTTGCTTTTACAGCACAGAAAGCCACCTAAATATCGACTTTTTCTTCATTTTCTGCGTCTTGGGTTTCAAGCTACGTCTCTCTTTTACAATCAAAATTGAATCTTTATATCATCCTCTGTAAGTAATTTATTCTAACTTTTGTTTTTTTTTGTTCATGGGTCGTTTCTGTTGATAATTGAATATTCAATCTTCTCAGATTGTTGGATTTTGATTAACTTTATACCCATTTGTATATGGAGTTTCTGTTTAATTGCAAGCTTATGAAGTTAATGGGTGGTGGCAATCTAAATTCTCTAGTTTGCAAGATTGTGTTTTTGTTTATTGCTGTTTTGATCCTAAGGTCCTTATTGTTTCCTTCCAACAACGTTGTTGTATATATGACCAATAAGAATGTTGGTTTTGTTGTTGAACGACAAAAGTTTTTGGAGGTTCCACAGATTGTGTGGGGATTAAACAACCAAAAGATTGCATTTGCAAGGGCTTGTCTCACAGCTAGAATGTTGAACAGAACTCTTTTGATGCCTAGTCTTAGTGCTTCCTTGTTTTACAAGGAAGTTGATCTTTTGAAACCAATTTCGTTCGACAAGGTGTTCCAATTTGACAAGTTTAATGAACTATGCAGCGGTTTTGTCCGATTGGGCCGTTACTCGGATCTCACGAACGCAACGGAAGTGATCGAAATCCAGAAAGGAAGTGGTAGAAAGTGGACTGTAGAGAGGGATTTGGATCACTTGAGAGAGGTTAAAAATGGTTCATTTGATGAGTATGAGGTGGTTAAGATTGTTGGGAAAAACCCTTTTTTGTGGCATGATCATTGGCCTGTTAAGGATTACGCTAAAGTTTTCGAGTGCTTAGTGTTGGTTGATGAGATTTCTCGAGAAGCTGATAGGGTTGTGTCTACGATTAGAGAAGTTGGAAAGAATAACCGATATGTCGCGGTTCACATGAGGGTAGAAATTGATTGGATGATTCATTGCAAGAAATTGGAGCAAAGATTGAACACGAATCAAATATGTAGTAGCAAGAATGAGATAATCGAAAGAGTCGGGAACATTGAAGGTCTTAATAAGAGTCCTCCAATTGTTCTTTATCTTGCTGTGGCTGATAAACTTCTTCAAAATTCTTCAATACTTGAAGGTTGGAAAGATGGTTTTTTACCTTATGAGAAGAAGAAACTTGGTGTTGATAAAATTTATGGGAAATATTCTTATTTAGTTCAATCTGCAATTGATTATGAAGTGTGTTTGAGAGCTGATGTTTTTGTAGGGAACAGTTTTTCTACTTTTTCAAGCCTTATAGTTCTTGAAAGAACACAAAAAATGATGAAATTGGGTGTGAGTTCCATGTGTGGAAGTGATGTAACATGGCCTTCTTTTGCATATAATATTCAAGGAGAGTTGAACGGTCCTATGAGATGGGTTACAAATATGTCTGATTCAAGTCTTCAAGCTATCAGCTATGGCACTAATCACATTTCATGTTAACATTTATGCAACACCGATACTTCACATTGAAGGTATACTTAGAGTCCGACATATTGTTACGAATACACATGTAACTACATTCAAAATTATGTTATTTTTTTAATTATTAACGGTGTTAATATGTCTGATGTATGATTGACAGATAAAAAATATAAATGTCTTATTAAAGATATGAAGATGTTTCTTTTTCATGTTCTTCATGTGATTGTTGGTGGGATTATTATGGTTATTGTTGGTAAGGAAGAATATTCCTTATTGAGTTATGTGTGTTTGCACTTTACATGTGTTTTCCTTCTCTTTGTTTGTTATTTTCTTGGTGAGGATAAGATATGGTGTAACAGATAAGAGAGTTAAGAGAGACACAACAAAAACACTTGTCTTCAACATGTGTTTTTGGGTCACTTTGTCCCACCAACAAGGTGAAGAGTGACACATGTGTTTCTTGATAATGGGGGCTTTATGGAAAATTTTGGAACCACACCATTATTGTGAGGTCAGGGACTACACTGCTGTTGTGTGTAGGTCCAGAGTAATGGTAAAAGAAATTATTCATTAATGTTGTTGGAGATGTTGTTGGAGTCGAGGTTGAAATTTATTATAGTAACAACATAGTACATATATTCCTTTATTAAATAATGTAGTCATGGGTTCAATTTTAATATTAATGCATGTACACAAAATATTACAGTATTGTAGCTGCAAATTATCTTTGGAAATGTGGACATTAAAATTATCCATATCAAACTTTGTGTTTACTTTGTTTAGAATTAGTGTTAGTTAGTTAGTAAATCAATAGTCCATTGTGATGTTATTTATGAATGAAGCGGGGTACATTGTCCTTGTCAAAAGGGTTAAAAGAGCCCAATGATTGAAAACTATGATTAAAGAGTTTAGAATTATTTAAGGATGTGTGAAGGTGCATATTGTGATTATCAAAGGGAAACTCATTTGTAAAATTAAAAGGTGTGTCATGAGAGGACAAGTATTGTTTGAGTTTTTATCCTATGTGTATTAGAGTTTGAAACACATGAATACTAATGATAATTCAGCCTTATATCGAATTTGCGCAAGATCGACAAAAATTCGATTTGTAGCGAAGAGTGTTTGGAATTTGTACAAGATGATTTTTGATTTGTGATATGATTTTTATAATTCTAGAATGAAGTATTTATAGGTCATGTATGTGTTATTTCAAAAGATTGCGACCTTTGATGAAACAACACTCTTTAACCAAAAGTTGCATTGTTTCTAAGCATTACTTATGTTCATTCTGCAACAACACTTCACGAAGTGTTGCTTCTCTTCGAATTCTTAATCACTTATTGGCAGTTACTCACTTTCATTTTTCTTGTCATTCTGGAATACACCCATGGACATTTATTGTTCATAAATTACAACAATCCTCCACTTGTTCTAATAATGACAAAA